CCCTCCTCCCCCTCCGAAGCAGGGACCCCGAGGGAGGGGGCAGGGGAGGGAGGGGGCTGCTGTGAGGGAGCGTCGTGTTTTATTTTTTTGTGGGCTCTATGGGGAGGGGGGAGGGCCATGGTGTTTTTTGCAGTTTCGAGATGTTTTCTTTTTCACGTTTTGCTGTGTGCATGGGGTGGCGGGGCGCGGGGAGGGGAGGGAGGGACTCCCAGCCCAGCCCAGCCCAACTCCTGGAGAGGAGCCCGTAATACACAAATACATAGTTACACCCACAAACTATATATATGCCCTATATAAAGAGACACAGCTAAGGGACGCAGAAAGGCAGAAAGAAGGGTTGGACGCGGGCATTCATTCATGTTTTTCATTCATTATTCCACAAAGGCTTATTAAGCACCTACTGTGTATCAGGCACAGGTACATGAGAAGGCATTGGAGCAGGGGACACGAACGAGGCACAGAAAGGGCCTCCTCGTTCATTCATTCCCGGCAATTTATTTGTGTGCCTTAAAAAGCTAGGCATTGTGCTCCGTGCTCAGCGTGCAGGAGGCAGGAAAACAGCCAGGGGTCCCGACATCTCATAGAGTAAACATCTTGTGCATGAGACAGGCATTAATCGATCATGTACATACACAATAAATTACAGTTAGGCTATAGGAGAAATGAGATGCTATGAAATGCTCCATCAAGGGAGCCTAACCCAGTTGTGAGGAAGAGATTTCAGTGGACAGTGAAAGGATGAGAAGAAGCCAGCAGGGCGGAGCTGGGGTGGAGTGTGGCAGGCAGAGCAGCACTTGCAAAGGCCCGGGGGCAGGAAGGAGCTTGCAGCGAGGGCTGAAGGGTAGTGAGGCAGGTGAGCAGGGACCAAGGTGAGGCTGGAGACGCAGACAGGGCCAGATTGTGCAGGTACTCATAGGCCAGGAGTTTAGATTTTATTCTAGGGATGGTGAGGGCCATGGAATGGGTTTAAGCAGGACCCTAATGTGAATGGTGTACAAAGGGAAGACAGGAACTTGGAGACAAGAGTAAGAGGTGGAGATATGCTGAAATACAGCATAAAACATGGGCACTGGCCCTTGGAGCTCACACTCTTGTGGGAGGAAGCACATAATTACACAAATAGTGAAGCATAGACATGGTGTCTGGTGTGCAGGAGAAGCCCTGGGGTTTGCAGACTCATGTGTCTGTCACTCATTCATTCAGCCACTCGCCCGTTGCCATTTTTGGCCATCTGCTAAGGTACTGGGAAGTGTTAGGATCCAGGTACCCAGGGGTGAAACAGACTCTAGCCCTGCTCTCAAGCAGTTTATTGTCATCAAACACCGCCATCCAGGCAGGGCAACTGGTGCTGGAATGGGAACCACAGTGGGTACCGTGGCACACAGTGGACAGAGTGACCAACTGCCAGGAGTGGGCAGCACTCGGAGGAGGCTTTGTGGAAAATATGATGCCCATTCTGGGTCTTAAAGAGATGAGTGGGCATCTTCCGGGTGATGAAGGGCGTGAAAAAGGCTTGTGGGGCCAAAGAACAACTTGGGTAAAAACCGGGGGGAAGCGAACAAGCATGACGTATTGGGGTCAGTGCTGATAGTTCTGGGATGCTGATGTACAAGGTGGGGCTGGGAGATGAGGCCGGGAAAGTAGCTACAAGCCAGAGTGTAAAGGTACCAGTGTGGCCAGGTACGGTGGCTCATGCCAAAATCCCAGCACTTTGGGAGGCTGAGGCTGGAGTATCACTTGAGCCCAGGAGTTTGAGACCAGCCTGGGCAACATGGCAAAACCCTGTCTCTACAAAACATTTAAAAAAAAAAAAATAGCCGGGCGTGGTGGAGCACACCTGGGGTCACAGCTACTCGGGAGGCTGAGGGAGGAGGATCACTTGAATCCAAGAGTTGGAGGCTGCAGTGAGCTAGGATTGTGGCACTACACTCCAGCCTGAGCAACAGAGTGAGACCCTGTCTCAGAACAAAAGAGAAAAAGGTGCCTGAGTTCCAGGCAGAGGGATTGAGGCTTTATTCTAAGGATGGTGAGAGAGGATGATAGTTGAGCTGGGGCAAGGATTGGGGGGTGGAGAGGAGGGGATGAGTTTGAAGTTCACTGAGAAGGCAGAGGGGACAGTGCTCAGTGGGCTTCCCTTCCATATTTGCTCAGCAAGTACTTCCTGAGGACTCCCCTGAGGCCTTGTGCTGGGCGGTGCTGGGAGTGTCGAGGTGGTTTTTATCTTGCCCTGCTCTCAAGGGGCTCTCAGTCTGGTGGGAAAGCAGGCACAGACGCAGCATGAGGAGGGCATGGCAGCAGTGGTGCCGTGCTGCCAGGGGCTCTGCGTGCCCTTATCTTGAGCATATAGGGCTGTGGAAGGGTACAGATCACAGCTGAGTGTTCAGAATTTCTCTCCGAGGCCTGTGTGGAAGGACCAGGAAGAGACACTGAAGGTCAAGGTCTCTAGGAAGAATTCTGCCAAGGCGGTTTCAGGAAGAGACGCTGGGAAACGTAGGAAAAGGAATACAAATTAGTGAGACGGAGAAGTGCTGAGTGAGAGAGAAGGATAGGTGGAGAGAAGAGGGATGCCGGAGCGGGTGTTAAAAGGGACAGATCTGGCTGGGTGCAGTGGCTCCTAATTCCAGCACTTTGGGAGGCTGAGGCAGGTGGATGAGGCAGGCGGATTAAGCTCAGGAGTTCCAGACCAGCCAACATATTGAGATCTTGTCTCCATAAAAATTAGCCGAGTGTAGTGGTGCATGCCTGTAGTCCCGGCTACTCAGGAGGCTGAGGCGAAAGGATTTCACTTGGGCCTGGGAGGGTGAGACTGCAGTGACCCGTGATGGCACCACTGTACTCCAGCCTGGGAGAAAGAGCAAGACTCTGTCTCAAAAAAAAGAAAAGAAAAAAGAGACAACAAATAGTTGCTGGAAGAGGGAGAGAGAATGAACTGGTTAGGGGAGAGTGGGTTCTAGAGTCCGAAGGCCAAACAAAACGAGAATGAGGTGGAGGGTGGGCACGAGGAAGAGCAAGATGGGGAGGGAGGGGGAGGGAAGGAGAGACCAAAACTAGTAGTCACAGACAGAGAAAAAGTCAAAGCCAGGAAGGTGATACAGAGAAGAGAGAAGAGGAGAGAGACTGACAGGTGCACAAATCAGAGAAGTCCCAGAGGTGACAAAAACACGACCACAGAGATGGTGATGGAAAGGTAAGCCGGAGACAGAGATTCGCACGAAAAGCAACACGGAGACTCAGAAGCAAGCACGGCGTCAAGGAATGCTCCATTTCTGGTGTGTTGTTTTCCCAGTATTCAACAAATACTTGAGTGCCAACCTGTTCTAGACCCAGTCTAGGCCCAGGGGATGTGGTGACAAATAGACAGACAAGGGCCTGCTCTCCTGATACTCACCGGAGAGATAAACAATAAATCATATCATTTCAGTAACCAAAAAGTGCTTTAAAAATTAAGCAGAAGGCCGGGTGCGGCGGCTTACGCCTGTAATCCCAGCACTTTGGGAGGCCGAGGCTGGTGGATCACTTGAGGTCGGGAGTTCGAGACCAGCCTGGTCGATATGGTGAAACTCCATCTCTACTAGAAAATAAATAAATAAATTAGCTGGGTGTGGTGGTGTGCCTGTAGTCCCAGCTACTTGGGAGGCTGAGAAAGAAGAATCACTTGAACCCGCGAGGCAGATGTTTCAGTAAGCCGAGATCGCGCCACTGCACTCCAGCCTGGGCGACAGTGAGTGGTAACAGAATAACAGAGCAAGGACGACTTTAGATGAGGTACTTGGAGAAGACCTTGTGGCAGAGGTCACAGAGGCGTGGATTGTGAGAAGGAAAGAGAGGTAAGAAAGTCTGGGGTCCAGGCATTCTGTCCACCGGAAGCAGCCCCAAAGCCCGGAAGAGTAGCAGGTCTTCAAGGGGGCCGGTGCGGTGGGCAGATCCGTGATAGGAGAGAGGCCCAGGGTAGGGGCTGATCAGTTAGGGCCTTGGATGCCTGGGAACAAATCTGAATTTTATTCTAGAGCTGACGGGAAGTCCTTGGAGGGTGTTGAGCACAGGCATGCCATGATCATATTTTTATTTATTTATTTATATTTATTTTGAAAAAGAGTCTTGTTCTGTCTCAGGCTGGAGTCCAGTGGGCCAATCTCGGCTCACTGCCAACCTCCGCCTCCCGAGTTCAAGTGATTCTCCTGCCTCAGCCTCCTGAGTGGCTGGGATAACAGGCATGTGCCACCACGCCCGGCTAATGTTTTTGTATTTTTAGTAGAGACGGGATTTCACCATGTTGGCCAGGCCAATCTCAAATTTCCGGCTTCAAACGATCCACCTGCCTCGGCCTCCCAAAATGCTGGGATTATAGGCGTGAGTCACTGCGCCCGGCCTCATATTTTTATTGAAACAAGAACAGCAGAGTTACATTGCTGGGCTGAGCATACGTAGACTTCAGGAGTCAAAGTTGAAGGAAGGAGGTAGTCGGCTGTTGCTTTCCTCTGGTTAAGGCTGCTGGAGGCCTGGACCAAGGTACAGTTAGTGGGATAGAGGAAGTGGAAGAAGGCATGGGATTTTGGAGGCAGAGCCTGCAGTGGTGGTGAACTGGATGTCATAGAGGAGGGAAGGAGAAGGAACCAGGAAGAAAAGAACTCTTGGAATTGGGCATGCGCATCTCTGATGGGCGCCGATGAGGATTGTTACCAGGAACGGGGAGACTGGGATCAGGAAAGCGGCTTTGGGAGGGAGAAACCAAGGCTTCTCTTTTGGATGTGTCAAGATAGAGATGCCTTTGAGAAATCCGAGTTGGGGTATCAAATAGCCGGTTGGATATGTGAGACTGGAGTCTGGGGGAAAGAGAGGTCATGGCTCAAAAATGTAAGTTTTGGAAACGTCAACATATAGGGGACATTTAAAGCCACAGGACTGGGTGATGTGGCCTAGCAGGTGGGTGGGGACAGAGAAATGACCCTGGCCAGAGCCTTGGGGACATCTACATCTTGAAGAGAAGGGGATGTAGCAAAGCGAGCTTAGGAGTGATCTCGAGGTGGGCTGAAACCAGGAGGGTCACAGAGGGCAAATGCACCTTTGTGTTTCAAGAAGGGAAGGAGACAGCCGGCTGTGCCAAGGGCTGCTGAGAATCGGAGAAGGATCTAGAAAGCGGAGTGACCATGAGGTTTGATGACATGGATGGGGTTGGTGATCTTGACAAGATGTCAGTTCAGTGCAGTGGTGGGGACGGAAGCCCTGCTGGAGTGGAGGGGAGAGAGAATTTGGGGGGAAGACAGAAGGAACGGGAATTCAGGCAATTTTGTGTGTTTGTGTGTGTGTGTAACTGACATAAAGGCCAGGTGCGATGGCTCACGTGTGTAATCCCAACACTTTGGGAGGCCGAAGTGGGTGGATCACTTGAGGTCAGGAGTTCGAGACCAGCCTGGTCAATATGGTGAAACCCGGTCTCTACTAAAAATACAGAAATTAACCAGGCGTGGTGGTGCACGCCTGTAATTCCAGCTACTTGAGAGGCCGAAGCAGGAAAATCGCTTGGGCCTGGGAGGTAGAGGTTGCAGTGAGCCAAGATCACACCACTGTACTCTAGCCTGGGTGACAGAGCAAGACTCTGTCTCAAAAAAAGAAAAAGAGCAAAAAAAAAAAAAAAAAGACACTGAAAGGAAATAGGGAGACATGCAGACAGGGAGATGGCAGGCAGAAAAATGCACCCTGCAATTAGCTGTCGTAGCAGGCAGGAGCAAGAGAGATGGGGAGGCCCAGGGTCAGGAGGGGAAGATGAATTCAGGGGGCAGGGAAGAGGGGATGCTGTCAGCTAGCCTCTGGCAGATTCCCTAGCCAGGGCTGCTCTGCCCGGCTCCTGTCTCTTGCTGCTGTCAGCGCCGGGCACACTCTGGGATTCCCCCTGTAGACCCGGTCAAGACCTATCGAGCTGAAGGGGAAGAACAGGCTTTCATCATTCATTTTCAGAAATAAACATTCATTCAGTTCTTGGAAATACTTCCTGGCGAGGCATGGTGGCTCATGCCTGTCATCCCAGCACTTTGGGAGGCCAAGACAGGAGGATTGCTTGAGGCTTGGCGTTTGAGACCAGCCTGGGCAATATAGTGAGGCCCCATCTCTACAAAAATAAAAAAATAGCTGCAGTGTGGTAGCTCACGCCTGTAGTCCTAGATACTCGGGAGGCTGAGGTGGGAGGATTGCTTGAGCCCAGGAGTTTAAGGTTGCAGTGAGCTATGATTGCACCATTGCACTTCAGGCTGGGCCACAGAGCAAGACCCTGTCTCAGAAAAAAAAAAAAAAAGAGGAAGGAAGGAAGAAGGAGTCAAAGAAATAAAGTCAAAGACGAGAAGGTGATACAGAGAAGAGAGAAAAGGAGGAGGAGAGAGACTGACAGGTACACAAATCAGAGAAGTGCCAGAGGTAACGAAACACAATCACAGAGGCAGGGAGAGGTAAGCTGGAGAAAGACTCAGAGATTGGCACAAAAAGCAACGTGGAGACTCAGAAGCATACACAGTGTCAAGGGATGATCAATAAAAAGAAAAAAATATTTCCTGAGGACTTCCAAGTACCAGGCCCTGCGATCTCAGAGCCACTTCTGTCCCATCTCTGCCCTTGGAGGGGGAACAGGTAGTCCAGACAATTAGAGGACAGAGGGGGCTGTGTTCTGACGGGGCCATGCAGGCATTGAGGAAACACAGCGGGCCCCTCCCCTGGCTGGGATGGGGATGTCTGTGTGCCATCATCTCACTCCATCTGCTCATTCCTTTGCTCATTCATCTATCCATTCATTCGCGTCACCTCATGCACATTTTCCAAGGCTGCCTGTGGCCTGGCCCTGTGCCGGGTAGAGCTGAGGATGCCAAGGTGAAGGTGAATTCCTCCTGTGCCTGGCCCCGGCCCCAGTCTGCTGGAAGAACCAGACACAGACAATCACATTGCGGGGAAACGCGTGCTCCATCCGAAACGTCCAGAGCAGGGGGTGGGCAGGGAGGCCCAGCGTGCACCAGGACCTTGCTCAGGTCGGCACCAGGCCTGCCTGGAGCAGCCAACTGTGGGAGAAGGAGTTGGTGAAAGATGGGCCCCACCTGGGCCATGCACAGAAGGGCTGAGGGGTAGGGGGCGAGGGGTTGAAGATCAGGCCCTGCCGCCATGCCACACGGCTGTCCTCTGTCCCTGCCCCTGGGGGAGCTGAAACTGCATGGAAGGTCCTCCAGGGGTGCCCCGTCTAATAAACTCGATGAAGAGGAGTGCCGCCGTCATTCTGTGTCCCTGACAGCCGGTCCCCGCTGAGGCCTGTGCTTTCTCCAACATGGGAATCAGTCCTTCTATCCTTCAAGACCCAGGGTTCTGGCCTCAGTCTCCTCCTCCAGGTCCAGGAGTCTGGGTCTGCCAACCCCTTGACCAGGAGTCCAGGCCCCAGACCCTCCTCCCTCAGACTCAGGATTCCAGGCCCCCAGACTCTCCTCCCTCTGACCCAGGAGTCCAGGCCCAGCCCCTCCTCCCTCAGACCCAGGAGTCCAGGCCCCAGCCCCTCCTCCCTCAGACCCAGGAGTCCAGGCCCCAGCCCCTCCTCCCTCAGACCCAGGAGTCCAGGCCCCCAGACCCTCCTCCCTCTGACCCAGGCGTCCAGGCCCAGCTCCTCT